AATCATAATTACAATGTAATAGTATTAGATATTAGATATTATAATGATATCTAAGATAATAACAAAAAACTGCAAAATTTCTGTAAAATTACTAAATCAGAGGCAGCAACCCAACAACGGGTTGTCGGATTCGTCTGAAAATTTCAGGGCAGATAAATCTAAATCTGATGAACATTTTTGACACTGTCAGATTTGCTCTAAATGCTTTAGTTTCAGAGATATTTATTAAACCAAAAACTGCATTTTACCCCTATGTTCTATTTTTAACCATGTCGGCCATGATGGTTGGGAGGCGTGGTCATCGGACAAATTTTTTAAACTAGATACCCTTATAATGATTATGGCCAAGTATGGTTAAATTCGGACCAGGTGAGCTAAAAATTAAGGAAAGCGACAAGAATATACTCTTAAATTACATGGAATTTATAGGCAATTAGCCATCTGCATGCAAATTTTGAAGTACTTCTGACGAAGAACGCTTAGTAATGTAAAAGTTCGCACAAGCTGTAAGGGTTGACTAGAAATCATGGACAAAATTCGTTCTACTTTATATTTAGATTGCTGCATTGTACAATCATCCTAAAATATTAATGTAATTGAAGTTAAAACAAGGACATTTTTTGCCTGCACAACTGATTTTGATTAAATTATATGTTGAAAGTCTTCGAAATAAATGTCTTAATACAGGTATAACAGAAACTTAACATTTTTGATGATCTGTGAATGTGAGGTCAAGGACAGACGAACCTTGTCAGACGTACGTGTACGTCTTTCAATAATTCTATATACCAAATATAGTTAAGCTATTACAAAAAGTCTTAATTTCCAAAACTTGACATAGACCAACGAGCTGTGAAAATGAGGTCAAGGTCATATGAATTATGTTTGGCGGACATCTACAACTAACAATAAGGGTATTCATCAAATAAAAATGACCCGTTACTTATAATAAGGTAAGTTGAACGCTGTTAGGCCGACTTGTTCACCTAACAATCATTCTATATACTAAATATAGTTGACCTAGTGCTTATAGTATCTAAGAAAACAGCTGTTAACTGAGAGTAGAATAAAACAGGAAAAAAACAATTTTCTTTTTTTCCCCCTGAAAATCCTGAGAAATGCAATTTTGAAATTATTTTATTCTATAAAGCGTGTATTTCTGGAAATTAACTGTTATATTGATGTAATTTGTTACATTTTGAAATGAATTTATTTTGAGCCATGTACTTAGCTGTCCTTTCAGTGAAATTTGTCTATTTACAATAATGCATAGAATAAATTTATTCTATACATTCATAGAACTGTCTGACCATCCAGAGTTATAAAATAAATTTATTCTATACATACATAGAACTTTCTGACGATACAGAGTTATAAAATCAATTTATTCTATACATACAGAGACATTTTCTCACCATACAGAGTTATAAAATAAATCTATTCTATACATACATAGAACTTTCTGACCATACACAGTTATAAAATAAATGTATTCTATACATACAGAGAACTTTCTATGATTACTGAATCATGAAAATGAGACCAACATTAGATTAGCATTTAGTCTTAGATGCAGGATTTTTTTTAATAGTTGTTATTGGCTTTGAACTAGCTGTCAGTAACAGTTAGTACTCTCAGATCTGTATTTAGTGTCTTTTTGTTGTGGGGATGTATAAAGTACCCGCGACGTCCACTCTGTGTTTTTGTTGTATGTATTTCTATTTGTATCCATCCGACGAGTTAAGCCTTTTTCAACAGATTTTTTTAGTTTGTTTTAATGTTGTACTATTATACCACTGTCCCAGGTTAGGGGAGGGTTGGCGCCTTCAAACGAGTTTAAACCCGCCACATTCTGTATGTGCCTGTCCCAAGTCAGGAGCCTGTAATTCAATGGTTGTCGTTTGTTGCTGTGTAACATCGTTCATTATTTTGTACATAATTTAGGCCGTCAGTTTTCTCGTTTGAATTGTTTTACATTAGTCATTTCGGGGCCTTTTATAGCTGACTATGCGGGATGGGCTTTGCACATGGTTGAAGGCCGTTCTGTAACCTATAGTTGTTAATTTCTGTGTCATTTGGTCTCCTGTGGTGAGTTGTCTCATTGGCAATCATACCACATTTTCTTTTTATATCTATATCTTATAATCATTGTATTGATTGGTATTTAACGCCACCTTCAGCACTATTGATCTATTTCGTTGCAGTCAGTTTTATTGGTGAAGGAAGCCGGAGTGCCCAGAGAGAACCACCGACCTTCGGTAGGAAAACTGACAATCCTTGTTAATTAAGATTAGAGTCCAGTGAACCCGTCACCTGCGTGATTCGAACTCACAACTTCGGTGTTGACAGCCAGGATAGTGATACAGTTGTTCGGCTAATTCAACCACTCGACCACAGAGACCCCTATATAATCATTGTATACTAGTATAACCAACATAGTTGATATATTACTGAACCATGAACAAAATATCGAGGTCCGATTCACCCTGTGAGACAGTTATGTCATCACTAGAATCATTCAATACATCATATATAGTTTATAACATGCTTGAAGTCTCCGAGAAACGGACGTAATCACGAAAATTTAACCATTATCAGCAATCCATGAACTCATTTCAAGGTCGGATTAAATCATGTCTGACGGACATATATACCTTGCAGTGATTCCATATACCAAATGAACGTATCCTGTTGTTTATAATCACTAGAATATCACTGGACACAAAAACTATGTTAGAGCAGTCTGAACCATAAAAATGGGGAAATGAACAACTCCAATGTAAAATATGCAAGACAGAAACTCGGACCATAAGCATCTGTATACAATATATGAAGCATCCAGATCTTGTAAAAGTTTTAGACACAGCTAGCATCCACGAGTCTCGCATTCTGAGTGGTCTCATGCGAGACAAAACGCAGGCTTTGGTATACCATAAGAATAATGTTGCATGGAAAGTCATAAACAGAGAGAGAGAACACATACATGTGCAACTAAATACCAGAAGTCGGTGAAAACCCAGAGACATATATACATGTCTCTGGAAACACAGACAACGTATGACTAAAAGATAAAGACAAACAAATTGCATCAAACGACGGATTATACAACTCCACAGAACCTGAAAATTTCCGATAGAGCAACACAAATCATTTCTGCTCCACTAGTGAAACACTAAAGTAAATCGCTTCACTAAAACTTGTACTGTTAACGATTTGCTGCGGCTGTCCGAAGTCAGGAACCTCTATCCTTGGTAATCTAGTGTATTTTTTAAATTTTGGTTCATTTATAAGTTTCAGAGTTTAGTGTGGCGTCTATTTCGCTGAACTAGTATACATTATTGTTTAAAGGTCATCAAAACCCATCCTCCGGGTGCGGGATTTTCTCGTTGCATTAAGGACCCATTGGTGGCCTTGTGCTGTTTTCTGCTCTTTGGTCGGGGTGTTGTCTCTTTGACAAATTCCCCGTTTTCATTCTCAGTTCGATTGTTCATTTTTTTTGCATCAAGTTTAGAGTACATTATGAAGGTCATGCAGACGAAGCTTGAAATAATTTGCACTATGACGCAAGTCTTATAAAATCTATTCGAAGCATTGAAATTGCGCGAGTCTTCAGACTGGCCGTAATCCCCCCGTTTCATCTCCTACCTTTTGCGATGCCTTCTGGCACAAAATTTTAACTACTAAATTAAAATTGTTTCAAAAATAAGGGAAATTATGAATAGCTCTCAGAAGTTGCAAAATGTATATCAAGATAGACATCTTTACACAGAATCAGTTGGATGTGTACTGGTTGATACTCAAGTCTGGGATAACATGGTTTATGCAATAGTTGTATTTGTTTTTTGACTAGGTTTTAGTAACAGCAAGTACCTTTTGTCCTTATGATGGTTGTTTGTGCTATGTACCAATGTGATCAGTCAAGCCATCACCAACTGTTTTTACAGTGTGTTCTAATGCTGTGCAGTTACACCACTGCCCCAGGTTTAAGGAGGATTGAGCGCCAACAACCACGTTTTCTATATACATGTCCCAAGTCAAGATCTGTTACTAAGTGGTTGTCTTTGGTTGCTGTCCGTCATACACCTTCTTGTTCTTCATTATTGTTTTGACATAACCCAAGCCATGATTTTCTACTTTAAAAAGTTTCCCATATATATATACATATAGGCCTTTTATAGCGGACTATGCGGTAATAGTTTTGCTCAATGTTGAAGGCAGCATTGTGATCCATTATTGCTTTTATCATCGTCATTTAAATTCTCGTGGATAGTTGTCTTATTGGCAATTTTACCACATCCCTTATTGTAATTTATAATGTATGCATTGTATACAGTTAACTTAAATATTTGATGACGATGATGAAGGTGAATTGGTAAATAATGTCCAGTGGCAAATATTACATGCATATCAGGACGAGAACACCAATGAAGGTCATGGTACAAGTACAACCAGAAGAAATTTTCAAAAAGAAATTTCCATCCCAGTATGAAATTTGAACAGTCATCTCTGTCTTTACAAAGAAAAGGTTGTTACCAGGTGAAAATATTTCTTGGTTTGTTGGAAATTTCGGAACGAGCCTATGGATTTCACTTGTACAGAACATAATGAAAAATATTTTATGAAAACAAATCCCTGAGGGATCTCAGAAATACTTGTTCTCCATTGTTTCTGGACAATCCCCATTTCAATAAACGAAGGCATTCATGTTTCATTATTCTTTTATCATGTTTATGGTATGTTTTTGTGATATCTCTAGGACCAAATAAGCAATATATACAGGTAATATTAAGATACATTTACACTATGTTACAATTGATTGAAACACCTTAAGAAAATTAAAGTGTAAATTAAAGGTTTAACATGTTGAAGGAAGAAAATTACGCATCAGATTGAAAAATAGCATCCTGCATAGTCTCATCAATTTAACCATGCATTACAAGTATGGTGATGCTAAACTGACACAAAAAAACAACATGTAGTTATTATTCTGAATTAAAGGTCAAATATTTTTTCCATTTGTAAAGGGGCATAACTCTAGAACGGTAAAAGTGACGTCACCAAAATTCAAACTTGATCTATATTTTGTGGTAATAACCGTTGTGTATAAGATTTATAACATTTGGTTTCAGAGGCAAACTTAAGAAAGAGAATGGAAAAGAAAAATTCAGCAACTTTTCCATTTGTAATGGGGCATAACTCTAGAAAGGTAAAAGTGACGCCACCCAAATTCAAACTTGATCTTAATTTTGTGGTAATAAGCATTGTGTATAAGTTTCATAACATTTGGTTGAGGCAAACTTAAGTAAAAGAACGGAAAACAATTTTGGGACATACTGATGTACGGACGTACAGACAGCAAGGGTAAAACTTAATGCCCCCTCTGCTACGGCAGAGGTATAAAAAGACATATTTTCTTCTTTTCTTGAATTTCTCTTGACTCCATTGCTGTAATTGAGTGTTTAATTGTCTGTAGTTTTCTTTACTATTCATAAATGTATAATTTCTTGGTCACAGAAAATCTCATTTGTCTACCAAAACACTGCTCATTTACAAGCCTCAAAGGAGAAATTTTTTGAAGACCTTTCGGTTACTTAATTCAAACCAGATAATTCAGAGGGTTGTACATGTATAAGAAAATTTTTGGAAAAGATTAAGGGGAGATAATTCAAAATTTTGAAATGAAAATTAAAATCTTTCAAATTTACTTCTTTAAGTACATATGTAAATATTACTTACATCTTCAATGAAATAAACATGACCTATATAAGTCTTAACCCTGACTCAAAGTGATTTTTTTTTATATATATATCAACATCATTTTTTGCAAATATGCACACTTAAAATAAAAGAAAATATCAACATATTGTTTTTTCTGTCATTTAGCATTCCCAATAAAATTTGCATGGAAATAAGAAAAGGGGATTGATGAATAATTTAGCGAATAAGATATCAGATTCAATTGAATACCCTACTTTTACGAAGCATTGTAGGACTGAAGCAAATCAATATATGTGGAAGTTTTTAAATGAACATTCATGTGTCTTTCTAAATGATCCTCCCACGAAAACCCCATACCACAAGCTTGACAAGTAAAGTTATATTTCTCACGATGACTAAATTTATGTGTTCGTAAGCTACTCTTTGTTTTAAATGACTTATCACATAAGTCACACCAGAACAGACCATCTTTAAAGACTAACTTTGGCTTTGTACACTGTTCTATCAAAAATTCTGCACTTTCTGTATACGTATTTTCATCACATATTGTCAACCTTTGCAAGTGCTGAACTTCTTTATCAGGATGACAAAAACTGTCCTTTTCAAAGTTTTCATTTTCATAGGCAGTAAATTCTGTCTTATTTGTGATTGGTCCATCCTTATTAGGAACTTTTCCTGGATTGTCTTCCATACTTGTGGATTTATTTTCACTTTCTCCATTTTCTGACATTGTTCGCTTTCTTCCTATTAAATACAACTTCTTACCAATAATCTTGATATTGCCTTTCCTTACTGAACTCTGGTCCACAATAGTCTGATCCTGTTTGAATACTTTAACACCTTTATACTTACGTTTCTTAACCACAGAATCCTTTTGGATGTGTTTTTCATTAGTCTTTATATTTTTATTTTCTTCTTTCTTTTCACCAATGCTGCCCGTAACTACTTCATCTTTCTCCTTATCACTGAATAATTGTTTTTTTATAAACATTTCATCACAATTAGTACTGCTATCTTCACAACTACAACTTTTTTCTTCAGTTTGTTTATCATTTTCATTGCATCTTGGCATTTCAGAAATATTTTTAGTATTTCCAGTATCTGTATATACAATTTTTTCTTTATTCATTTGCAATGCTTGAATCTGCGGAAGATTATGTTCAACATGCATTTCATCATTATGAGATGCTAATTTGGTTTCTTTGTGACAAGGAATCCTTTCTGACAAGGAAAATGTGGCATTGTTGTGTTCATCTTTACATTCATCATGTTCAGTGCTCTGATCACCTTTCAAATTTTCACTCTCTTGACCACCAATTTTTTCACTTTTCTGACTATCGATTTTTTCACTTTCTTGACCACCATTTTTTTTAATTTCCTTACTATCAATTTTTTCAATTTCTTGACCATTTATTTTTTCATTTTCTTGATCATTAGTTTTTTCACTTTCTTTACCATTAATCTTTTCGCTTTCTTGACCCTTAGTTTTTTCACTTTCTTGACCATTAGTTTTTTCACTATCTTGACCATTAATTTTTTCAATTTCTTGACCATTTATTGTTTCAATTTCTTGACCATTGATTTTTTCAATTTCTTGACCATTGATTTTGTCACTTTCATAACTATCATTGACATCAACATGAACTATTCTATCCTCATCGGTTGATATAATTTCCTTATTAACCTTTTCAAGAAATTGCGATTCACATTCTTGCTGGAAATTTTCCTTTTCCTTTTCCTGATTTCTTGTTTCTTCTGTATCTTCAAAATTAATATTTTCATTGTGTCCACAGTCTATGGGATTGTCTTGTTCTACACCAGTATCATCAGATTCCATACAGGTGTCATAAGAAAAGTGAGAAAACTTCTCAAATAAATTAAAAGCTGATATTTCCTTCGTAGGATCATGTCCAATTGTTTCCCTTTCTTTATCATTTTTAACTGTTTCTTCATCAGCTTTTCTCTTTAAGGAGTTTACTTTCTGAACATTTGTATAGCACATTTTTTCTTCATTGTCACAACTTTGTACATTACAATCTATATCTTCTATGCAATTGTTTTCCTCTACACATTTAAAGTTTTCTTCTACTTCCACATTTTGTAATGAATTTTCTTCCATTCTGTTTTCATGATCTGTACTTGGTATGTCATGATCTGTACTAGGGATGTCGAGATCTACAGAAATCTGATTTATTTCACAAAATTTATATGCTTCTTTCTTTTTCACTTCATGATCATCTTCTGCTGTTTTTTCTGTAAGATAACATATTTCTTTTGATTTAATCATTTGTTCAATTTTCTCAAAGATGGTCAAATCTTTATTCCAATCACATTGTTTATCTTTTTTTCCTTGACCACACTCTGTACTCTCACTTTGACCTTCAAGATTTTTCAAATTATTGTCATCGGTATTTGTACATGGTTCAATATCTTGTAATATTTCCATTTGATTCTCCTTGCTGGTTTCTTGTTCAGTAATTTGTTCATGCATAGAGTTATCTTCTAGTTCCCTGATTTTATTTTGTTCATCAATTTCTACAGCTGTCAATATTTTAGAAGTTTGCTCGTCATTCTCATTCACATTATCCAAATTAGAGACGTCCATATGTTCACAATTGTCTAATGTCATGAATATAGCAGTTTTACCTGAATCCGATCCAACATCAGATTTGCTGATCTGCAATGTGTCACTCTGACCTAAATCAGATCCAATTCTGATAGCTGCTTTGTTTATAATATCTTCTTGTCCTTCTTTTAGTAAAATACGTATCTGCTGATAATTTGAATCAACAATAATTACATGACCTTGATTCTTGATCTCCATGTTCTCTGAAGCATGTTGAAGTTCCATCAGACTGCTATTTTGTCCAGTATCTTCGAATCCCGACATTTCATTTTTCTTCTGAGAAATTTTATTATCTACATTACAATTACTTATCAGTTCGTCGAAGAGATTTCTGCCTCTTTTCTTTGTGTAATCTATTTCATTAATATCATTATCTTCAATCTTTTCTGTCATATCTAATCTAGCATTTAAATTTTCATTTAATTCAGGTACAAACCGAACTTTTGCATCATCTGCGATTAAAATAATTTCATTTTCCTTTTGATTGGACACTAAATCATCAGTTGTATTTTGAAAAATCGCAAAATCATCACTTTTTCTTTTATCATTCAAAAGATCATCAAACAAATTTCTGCATCCATTTGCTTGCTCCATACATTCTATGTCCAATGTTTTGCTTCCTGTCAAATTCAGATCGGCTTTGATTTCAGGTAAACTTTTCAAGTCATTTCCTCCAGGTTTAATCCCATTTAAATTGGAAAATATATTACCAACCTCGTTTTTCTTCATCCTCAATGATGTCAAATTCAACATCTTCAACTGATTGCCAAGTTTAGATTTAGCATTTTCTCTACTTTGTCTTGAACAACTTTTGGCGTCATTTGTTTTCTTCTCTGGTAAACATGTTGATGTTTTTTCTAAACCACTGTTTGAATTGGGCTTCATCATTATTTTCTCAAATATATTAGTATGCAAATCAGTTGAAAGTGGTTTACCTTCCTTTTCTCCTATACTCATGATATCCGTAGCTTCTTTTTTACGTGACATTTTCTCAAATATATTTCCATCACATTTTGATTGACTTCTATCTTTTACAATACTGGTTATGCCTACTTCTTCAGAGCTCTCGGCTTTATGTATTTCTAAAGTTTTCTTATTATTCAAGAAAGAGTCAAAAATATTTGTATGACAATTTTGTTTCATGTCTATTTCAGGGTTTTTATCTTTTAATGGTAGGTTATTTCCAACAGAGAAAGAACATTTAAGTTTTTCTAGAATACCACTATCCTTCTGAACATGTCCTTTGACGGTTTGCGTACTTGACTTGATTTTTCCATCTAATTTCTGTAGGCAAAGAGTTGGTGCTAAACTTAATCCATGCGCAACTTTCATGTGACGATTATAAGAAAATTTAGTTTTGAATATCTTTTTACACTTGTAGCATTTTAAAGTATTGTCTTTCAGTGTATTAATACTGTTCATGTTTTCCTCTGACAAACTGAGATTTTGATTTCCCAATGCATCTTTGTGTTTCATCTTATTGTGTATTTTCAGGTTACCTTGATTTTTAAACACCCTTTGACAGATTAAGCATTTTGATGGTTTTTTATTAACATGAACAACATTTACATGATATTTTAATTTTGACTGTGTTCTAAAGGCTCTGTTACACTGCTGACATTCATGTGGTCGTTCGTCATTATGAACCATCAGATGTTTTTGCAGGTTGGATTTGGTTGAAAATGTTTTAGTACATGTGTCACATTTGAATGGTCTCAATCTTTCATGAACTGTCCTCATATGGATCAACCTGCCAGAGCTTCTACTGAAAGTTTTTGGACAAAGATGGCAATGAAAAAATTTATCAACAATTCCTTTATGTTGTTTTTCATGTTGGAGCAGGGAATCATTACAAGCAAATCGTCTTTCACAGATTGTACATGCCCACGGTAACTCACCAGTATGTGTTCTCATGTGTTTCTTCAAAGCTCCACTCTGTGTAAATTGTTTATCACAAACCTCACACTTCCACTTACGAGTACCAGCAAGCATTTTCAGATGTTTACGCAGATATCCAATACAAATAAACCCTTTACCACAAATGTGACATTTATCAGTAATTTCCCCTGTGTGTTTTCTCTTATGAATAACGTACTGTTTTAAATATGTGAATTGTCTGTTACAAATCTCACATGCAAACAAATCACCTGTATGTAGTCTAGAATGATTACGTAATGTTTCTTTAGAAGAAAATGAACGTTTACACACTTCACAGTGGAAATCCTTTACCCCTTTTCGAGACTTTCTCTTTCTCAAATGTTCTGGGTTGTGTATATCTTCATGTGTGCGCATTGTAGAATTCTGTTTAAATCCTTTTCCACATGTAGAACACTTATATGGTTTATTGTCAAAGTGAATCATTCTATGTTTAGACATGTTCCCTCTTTTGTAAAATATTTTGTTACAAATGTCACATTTGTACTCTTTTTCTTTGGTGTGTGTATTCATGTGTTTTTCTAGAATATGATTTGTAGGATACGTCTTCTGACAGATAGTACATTGATGCATAGCCTCCCCTGAATGTAGTTTTAGGTGCAAGTCATAACACAGCTTCCAAGAAAATGTTTTTGAACAGTATTCACATTTGTATATTTTTTCCTTGGTATGGATCAAAATGTGCTTTTTCAAAACACATTTGTAATGAAATCCCTTATGGCATACATCACAGTAATATCTTGAGTCCTTCAATTTTCCAAAATGTACTTTATTAACATGTGTACGACAGTTTCCAGAGTCAAGAAATTTCTTTTCACAGTAATTACAGCTGAAAGGTCTACTGCCATTGTGTGTGCGTCTGTGTACCCTTAACTGACTGTTTCCATAGAAACTAGCACCACAAACTTCACAACTATATCTCTTTTCTCTATTACGATAGTTACCATTATGAGTTTTAGCATGTCTTGTCAAGAATTTTAGGCAATTAAACTCTTGTTTACACACTTTGCATTCAAATTTTTTCCCCACATTGTCTAACTTTTTCTGGTGGCCTCTTTCATGTGAAAGCAGACCACATAACTTATCAAACCCTTGTCCACAAATTAAACATTGATAATTTGAAAGACATTCTTTTGTTAGATCACTTTTTACGATCACTGGTTCTAATGGTTCCACTGGTTTGGATTCTAAACATGTCTTCACTGCAACATTTATATGTGATTTCATATGAGTAGCCAATCCAGCTTTACCCATGAAACCACGGCCACAAATACTACAATGAATATTGTACTTGACGCCATCTTCTTCAGTCACTGTATAACCTAAGGTTCCATCTAAGCATTGCCTGCCTGCCATTATCTTACACAGTCACGTCATATTTCACTTCTGCGTACCCTGCAGTAATTCTGTCAATAGGTCCTTTCTTTTTTACATTCCAATCTCATCTTTCCTGAAAATGTTGTAAACAAAATATATAATTTAATAACATAGGACCTTTATAAGCAGTATACACCAAAGTTAGTAATTAAATCATATATTGGAACAGCCATTTTGATTTTTAAATAAAATGCTTCGCTGGGGCGCAGCTTGATACGACCGCAGAGGTCGAACCCTGAACAGTTCGGGCAAGTATGGACACAACATTCAAGCTTGATACAGCACTGAATTTGGATTGTAATTAAATATTTGACACAGCATAGGTTTTTTCACACAGAATGAAAGTGGTCTAGGAACTTAAAAATTTTTAATTTACCTTTTCAAACCATATCATTATTATTTGCTTTTATATATAAATCAGAAATAACCAATTTAAAATGGAAAATTTTAAAGAAAAAAAATGAAAAAAAAAATCCCCCCCAATTTTTTTGAACCCCCTTATGATTCATTACCCCAAAACTCAATCCCAGCCTTCCTTATGTGGTATGGTACCTTGCAGTACAATTTCAGAGAGATCCATACACTTGAACACAAGTTATTGTCTGGAAACTAGAAAAATGCTTGTTTTTTGGCCCCAAATTCCGAAATGTTTAGGGCAATTACCCCCAAACTCAAACCCAGCTTTCCCTTTGTGATATGGAACCTTGCAGTACAATTTCAGAAAGATCCATACACTTACACACAAGTTATTGTCCTGAAACTAGAAAAATGCTTGTTTTTTTGCCCTTTTATGGCCCCTAATTACTAAAATTATGAGGGAATTACCCTCAAAATCAATCCCAGCCTTCCCTTTGTGGTATGGTACCTTGCAGTACAATTTCAGAGAGATCCATACATTTGAACACAAGTTATTGTCTGGAAACTAGAAAAATGCTTATTTTTGGCCCCTTTTTATCCCCTTATTCCTTAACATTTTGGGCAATTACCCCGAAACTCAATTCCAGCTTTCCCTTTGTGATATGGAACCTTGTAGTACAATTTCATAAAGATCCATACACTTACACACAAGTTATTGTCATGAAACTAGTAAAACGCTTGTTTTTTGCCCCTTTTTTGCCCCTAATTCCTAAAATTTGGAGGCAATTACCCCCAAAATCAATCCCAGCATTCCCTCTGTGATATGGAACCTTGTGATACAATGTCAGAGAGATCCATACACTTACACAGAAGTTATTGTCATGAAACTAGAAAAATGCTTGTTTTTTGCCTCTTTTTGGCCCCTAATTCCTAAAATTTGGAGGCAATTACCCCCAAAATCAATCCCAGCATTCCCTTTGTGATATGGAACCTTGTGGCACAATGTCAGAGAGATCCATACACTTACACACAAGTTATGTCTGGAAGTTACAAAAATGCTTATTTTTGGCCCCTAATTCCTTAACTGTGGGTACCATAACCCCCAAAATCAATCCCCACCTTCCTTTTGTGGTATTGAACCTTATGGTAAAATTTCATTGAGATCCATTCACTTAAACTAAAGTTAGAGTGCGACGCCAACGTCATACCAATATACGACCACAAAAATTTTTTTGCGGTCGTATAAAAACCAATCTAAAAAGACTGAAAGTACTAGTCAATGGAATTTTCAGGCATGTGTTCCTTGCAGCAATTCAATACCATTCATATACTTAGTTTGCAGTCTATTTTTAGAGAGTTAGGTAACAGTTATTTACCAATAATCAAATAAGTAATGAATTTTCTCCTAAAAACTCATATACTGAACAGTACTGAATTCCAACAAGAGAAGTGTTTAAATAGTAATGAATTTGCCACAAACATGACAAGAACATATCTAGATAAAAGAAGAATGTATTCATGGGACACAGATGCTCCAGCTTGTAAATATGCAAAAGTCAATGTACTACGAATTCAGTAATTGTTATTAATAAAGTTACATAATTTGAAAACACCAAAAGTGATGTCATTTAAAATCAAACTTGATCTGCATTTGATGGTAATAAGCTTTGTGTGTAAGTTTCATAACATTTAGTTGCAGCAAAGTAAAATTAGAGTGCTGAAATGGCAAATTCAGCCATTTTTCAGTTGATGAAGGGAAAAAACTCGAGAACAGTCATGACAGTGAAAAAAGTATTGTGTATAAGTTTCATAAAATATGGTTGAGGCAAAGTAAAGTTAGAGAATGAAACCAATTTCAGGACGTATGAAAGTACAGACGGACATGGGTAAATCTTAAGTCGTCAAGGGGCTGGGCATAATAAAAAGCTTAAAGGAACATATTTCTAAGTAATTTGGTGCCAGGTGGATAGTTGTCTCATTGACAATCATACCACATCTTCTTATCTTATATATCGTATGAAACAAGTTTCTTGAAATTATAATGTTATGGAAATTATTGAACCAATGCATGTATATACAGTTAACTAAGCCTCTGTAGACGATTTATATACTTCATGCACTTATTAGGAATCCATGAAATTTATAATCGACAAAAAATTTTATTCAGTGAAAACTTTCCCAGAAAAAGATGGTGCACATAATAATATAAACATGTTGAAATCACATGAGATCTGAACAACAAAACAAACAGCGGTAAATTTGAAAGTATCTGACATAATTTGCGTTTCACTCGACAAAAATGTCTGTGATGACTGAAAGACATTATTACAGACATTGTTTCTTTGTACAATAACGAAAATGTGTTATTTCAACACAATTCATGACAGGAGGAGATAACTCTGTCAGAATTCCCACAATAACTGTATGCCTGTTATTTTCTGTAATAACTTGTTTAAGTTATACCCTTGACTGATAACAGTTGTTAAATAATTTGGTGCACAAGTTTTTTTTTCTTTTAGAATCAATTAACTCTAACTTCCATGTTTGTTTAAATTTTCTATCATCAAGGGTTTTTCCCTAACACTTAGTTTTTCTTTAACACTGCGTTCTGTGCTTCCCGAAGTACTAACAAGAGGTCCCCTGGTTAAGTTCACCAGTGTTCCAGCTTGAATCTCATGGCAGAAGGGTGCTAGTTGTCTGAAAGGGCACTTTAGCGCAATAACCCAGATTGTAAGGGCACTGTTAGACAGTGTAAATTCCCTTGAATATAGGCTCAACTGGAGGACATTAGTTGTATTTCAAGCATATTTAGAAATTATTGTGTTCTTGATGTTGATTCCAGTAAGAATTTTTTTATCAAATTATCATACCATGAAGCAAAGCATATAATTTTAATTTTAATCTAAACAAACTTGTACATTTGGTAAGGAAAAATAATCATCAGAAATTTCAATGTTTTATTACTGATACCAGTCTATAAAATTAAACAAGTAGTTTTGAAAGATGGAGGTATAAATTAAAAATTGAATTTTTAATGCAATAAAATTACAATCAACTCTCATTATGTCGAATCGGTTGGGACCAGAGAGATTAATTCGAATCAAGCGAAAATTCAAGATATAAGGAGTAAATATGTATACTTTAATGTTGAGGGTCCAAACACTTGGTTTGAGTTATCCAGAATTTCGACTTAAATGTGTTTCAGATAAAGAGAGTAGACTGTATGTACATTTGAATTTCTTATTCAAACATAAAGTATATTTTATTGAAAGTTACTTATTATTATTTAAATTGTTAAAAAAAAGTATTTTTTAAGTGCACACCAAAGTGCTCCAAAGTAAGGAGTTTTATAAATTCAACAGGTGAAACAGGAGATGATAAAATCATATTGATGCATACATTGCAGAAAATATTAACAGTTTCTTTTTTCTCCATAATTGTTTAGAATAAAAGCATTTGTTAAGTGCTTCTAAGTAAGAAGGAGGATTATAAATACAAGAAGTAAACATTGTAAAACAGGAAGTGATGCAATCTTGTTTATGTTCAAAATACGAATTTCTTTAAATTTCATACTCAGTGTTATGAAACAAAACATTTTTTTACCAATGTATTCAAAAATATGCCTTTAAAATTGTTTTAACATTTTATTTTTATATTAATGTCTACTTAAATAAAGTTTTTCAGGTGTACATGCTGTACATAAACATGACAAATGGATAACATGTGTGTCACGGAATAGAAGTTCCTTCATAATATACATGTAAGTTCCAAAAGGAAACAATATTCTGGAATATTATTTCCAATGGAAAAAATATTACAGTTAATGTTCCTAACGGAATAAATGGTATAGAATATTTGTTCCAACAGGAACAGATTGATTGATTGATTGTTGGTTGCTTAACGTCCAGTGGCAAATATTTCATGCATATTCAGGACGAGAACAAATTATCAATAAATACAATACGTAGGTTCTGTAAAAGGGCGTCCGGGATTAAGGTCGGAGAAATTTAGACTGCTACGGGAAATGAGGGTATATTGGATAGGGACAGAAATTTAGCCTTGCAACAGGTCACCTACGGACCCCTCAAAGAGTTGTTGCAAGGGTTCTTAACGTGCAAAGAGCGTGGCACTCTCTTTACACGAGGCATCGGATTTAACGTCCCCATTCTGACCGGACGTGGCTGCTTACTTGATACATCCCGCACAGCTAAACGGACGCCCCACTTTAGCAAGGGTTTTACTGCCGGTCGGAGGAAGACCAATGATGACCATACTTCTATTCCCCAGTCACCCTTGGGGGTAACAGGAACAGATATTATGACATTGTTTATAACAAAGTTTCCAGTGGAACTTCTGTTAGGCGGAACAAATATACCTTGACATGTAGACATTTTAAATCTGTATTAAATATCTAGTATTTGTTCAATTATCTTTAATCACCTAACTAGCAGTAAACAATCATTAACAGAGGTGATAAAACTGCCAAAGGCAAGATATTCAACTTAATGCCATTGTCAGTTAATTAGATGATTAGTGTGTTACACAATCAGGTAACAATTTCCAGAAGCACCACTAGGCATGTAATATTTGAACAGTTTATTTTTTGAAAAGGCAGAGGGGTGTAATTTTTTGCTTTGGAGGGCAGTATGGCGGGGTAAGGGCACCAAGAGCGGGCCACCCTTCTATTTTGGGCAGGTGGGACAACTGGATACAGAAAAGCTATCAGCGAATTAGAGTACGGGGAGACAATAATTCAATATCAGTACATTTCTGAAGATTTTAATAAGATACAGGATTTTGTTTTAAAAGAAAGTCCATGTACAGGTGCTTTATAGAATAAAATGCTTCGCTGGGTGCAGCTTGATACAACTGCAGAGGTCGAACCCTCAACAGTTGGGGCAAGTATGGACATAACAATCAAGCTTGATACAGCACTAAATTTGGATTGTGATTAAATATTTGACACAGCATAGGTTTCTGACACAGAATGAATGTGGTCTAAGAACTTAAAAATTTTTAATTTACCTATTCAAACCATATCATTATTATTTGCTTTTATATATAAATGAGAAATAACCAATTTAAAATGGAAAATTTTAAAGAAAAAAAAAGGAAAAAAAAATCCCCCTCCTCCCAAATTTTTTAAACCCCCTTATGATTCATCACCCCCAAACTCAATCCCAGCCTTCCCTTTGTGGTATGGTACCTTGCAGTACAATTTCATAGAGATCCATTCACTTGAACACAAGTTCTTGTCAGGAAACTAGAAAAATGCTTGTTTTTTGCCCCTTTTTGACCCCTTATTCCTACAATTTTGAGGCAATTACCCCCAAAATCAATCCCAGCCTTCCCTTTGTGGTATGGTACCTTGCAGTATAATTTCAGAGAGATCCATACACTTGAACACAAGTTATTGTCTGGAAACTAGAAAAATGCTTATTTTTGGCCCCTTATTCTTAAACGTTTTGGGCAATTACCCCCAAACTCAATTCCAGCTTTCCCTTTGTGATATGGAACCTTGTAGTACAATTTCAGAAAGATCCATAGACTTACACACAAGTGATTGTCATGTAACTAGAAAAATGCTTGTTTTTTGTCCCTTTTTTGGCCCCTAATTCCTAAAATTTTGAGGCAATTACCCCCAAAATCAATCCAAACATTTCCTTTGTGATATGGAACCTTGCAGTACAATTTCAGAGAGATCCATACACTAACACACAAGTTATGTCTAGAAGTTACAAAAATGCTTATTTTTGACCCCTTATTCCTTAACTGTTAGTACCATAACCCCCAAAATCAATCCAAACCTTCCTTTTGTGGTATTGAACCTTATGGTAAAATTTCATAGAGATCCATTCACTTAAACTAAAGTTAGAGTGTGAAAACCAATGTGTCTTCGGACGACGATAACGCCATATGTCATACCAATATACGACCACAAAATTTGTTTGCGGTCGTATAAAAACTTAGCCATGCAAGTACATAAAACATGAAGGATCTTATGACTTTAAACCACTGTAATGATTTTATCATACCTTGAGAAAACACTAGTCTTTCCTTCTCATCAGTACTAACACTGACCATACATGTCCAAATTACTCAATACCAATTGATCCTATAACAAGACAAACATAATTTTAATAGAGCATAAAATAAACAAACTAATTGCAAAGAAGCTATTTACTCACAAGAGAAGTTACATGTAATTCAAGAAATAATACACCATAACTGTAATATGTGAGAGCATGTGCTATAGGAACTGTTCCTTCTCTTTGCCTTATCTAGATTTAGACACAGCTTTATAGATACATTGTACATTTGATTTTAAGAAATGTTATTGTTTGTAATTAGATTATAATACATAGAAAAACCTTCGTGTTTTGCACTTTCTTTTCAACAACATTTATTTCCATTACTAACCAAATTGTAAATGCAAAAAATTTAAACATTAAACCAGTATAAATTACTTTTTACGGTACATGATGATAAGTATTATTCAACCAGGTAAGTTTTCACAATGGACTATCCATTATACAGGTAAACAAATTATTCCGGCTTTAACATTGACTATAATGTCTGCGCCAAAATGTCCGTCTCTAAGCAGTTTTAAATTCATTGCTAAAATGTCCTGTGCTTCAAGATTTTTTGGAGAGTTGCTAGAATTTTTTGGTGTGACACAGATTTTACTTAGAGTTTGGAGGATTAAGAAATAATTTCATTTGTCTATGTCGTCAATTCATGAGAGTTTTTTTCGTTTTCTATTTAAAGTTCTACGATACATCTATTGTTAAAACTAAAGTGCTTTTATGATGATCTTACCAAAATAAAACTGCATTATCAATCGATTTTCCATTGATTTGCGTTTTTCTTTGTTTTAATTTTGTTATTTCATATAACCATGATAACAACTGGTATAATCAAGGATTTATACTATACAAATCCTTGATATAGTTATGTTTAATTATTGATCAATATTCATGACTTATTTGTAGTAATATAATTTGTAAATAATATTTATATAGAATAATGGCATTTTTGTTTTTGATACTGACTTTATCAGCAAGAATATCAAGCGAGCCCGCAAGGGCGAGCTGATATTCGAGCTGATGAAGTCAGTATCAAAAAATAAAATGCCATTATTCTTTTTATCGGCAATTTGTCTTAACTGTATTTTTTTTGTTCAGAATATGAAGTAAAACGAAATAATAAGTAAAACTACTTTTACGCGTACAAAACGTTGGGATAGTTGTTCGGTTGTATGAATGAAGTCGCGTGCATTTCATTGATAAATTGAAACGGACGGACATGAACACGTGACGTTGCTGCACTGATACATGACGTCATTGCCTAATATTTTCGAGTATCAAGTCCAGTCCATGATCTTCCAAATATTAGGCAGTAAGATCAAAGGGAAATGTACAAATTGCCGATAAATATTATTATCTGTCATTTTCTATTTACCATGAGCCTGAACCTGCTGAGTAATATATTCCCAATACTTAAAATGTTCTATGTCAAGATTTGTTTACATTGCATGTACATGATGTATGTTGTTACTTAGAAATCTGGTTTGAAATACATGAAATATATTGATCTCCTCTGTAAATTTGTTAAGTTTTTATCTTATATAATCTGCTTTGTCTATATACATGATATAAAAACAAACTGTTATAGCCTTTACAATGTACGATTAGAACAAAGGCCACTAGGTGTGAAAATAATTCAATGACACATGTACATGTACACATATTATTGATTTCTATAAGTAAATCATTTTGTACATGAAAATGATGTAAATGTGCTCATGTATTTTGACCCCAAAAATTTTTTTGTAAGTTTCACTTTAACCATTTTCATATTATCGACTTTTGAATATAGAGAATACAATTTTTGACAGGTCGAAAAATGTACCTACATGTACATGTATAGCTACTCTGAGGTACTCTGTAAAGTAAGAGCAACTAATACACTAATTAATGTAGAAGTAAAATCAGGATTACAATTGGTTCAATTTGGGGAAACAATTGATTTTTATAAAATAACTAATTGAAGAATTCAAATATCGAAAAATATTCAATGAGCATGAAGAGTGACCGAACAACACATTAATTCAAGAAATGCACGAAGTGCATGAGTTAATTATCAGTGTTGTTCGGTCACGAGTTGAATATTTTTCGATATTTGAATTCTTTGATAAGTTATTCTTTTTATTACAGTGACAATGTGCTTTTTAAGGGAAAATAAAGTAGACAAGAGGCTGTCGAGTGACAGCAAACAGGATTTTCCTACAGAGGTCAAACCCAGAATAGTTGAGCAAGTATATATATGGACACAACTTTTAAATCAAACAGCTTGTATTTGGATTGTGATTGAATATTTGACAAAGCATAGGTTTGTGACACAAAATGACTGTAGTCAAATAACTGAAAAATTGAAATTGGACATTTACCTATTACGGCGCTGGCATAAATATACCAAAGAAAAGAAGAAAAAAAATCTAAAATGTTATTTATCATTAATCCAAAATCTCTTAAAAATCTATAAAACTTATCTGTAATTATCTTCAAAATGTCTAATAATATACAGTAAATTTCAAACTTTATTTATACAGTCCTACAGATCTTATCAGGAAACAGAAAATTTTCAAATAAATCTGTCACTCCAATTATAATCATATGATAAGATATTTCCTAGATCTAATTAATAATGAAAATGATATTTGCAAATCTGAGGGGTTATTTCCCTTTGAACAGAAATATGGTTTAACATAGTACTCTAACATCAGATATGATTAATAGTTCTCTAAAATTAGATATGATGTAACAAAATGTATATCTATTTTCAAAATATAGTCAAATATAATCAATAGTTCCAAATATTTTTTCTTTCATTTGTCACAAACTAATACAGATCTGCAACTTTTCTATCAATGTAATAACTTAAAATGTAATGAAATATATTGTATAATAAAAATAGATTATTATCCTATTAAAGGAGTTCACTTCATAAAAAAAAATTTATATATATATAGCATTCAGAAAATTAGTTTATACAGAATAACAAACAAACCTACCACAAAATTCTTCACACAATTTACCAAAGAAAAGAAAAAAAAATCCAAAATGTCATTTATCATTAATACAATGTCTTTTAAAAATCTTTTAAATAAAAAATGAGTTATTTCCCTTTGTACAGATATGGATTAATTCATAAAAAAATGAATTCTTGGGAAAGGGCTATAACTGAACAACGAGAAAAGCTAAAATCGTGAAAATTGAACTTGACCTTCATTTAGTCACAAGAAACAACATATCTAAATTTGAAAGTGTTTTCATGTAAATGAACGGACACTGTTTGGCAGCGGCCTGCAGTACATCCCCAAATCAATAACCGATTTTTACTTCGAAAATCCGTATAAATATGCAAGGCACTATATCTTTTTCTACAAATTCACAATTTGCTTTGATGCAACATCATCAACGATGTCTTGACAACACCTAGTGTTGTATGACATCAGAGAAGTGAAAGTATCGGTTTTTATTTCACTACGAAATCACGGTAATTCAAATATTTTTATAATTAATATGCCAGCGTTAGCTGGCACTTATGGTAGAAGCATTGAATTGGAATAAAGAACGATAACTCTCTCTACATGACCCATCTGAAAAGTTTCGTCTCTCTTGTTAAATCTCATACGATTATTGTATTTCAATGGCTGCCAGATTCTTGTTTTAATCGTGCACTTGAAAAAACGGGGCAGAATGGAACAAATTGGATGTTATTAAAATACAACATGAATTTTTATTTGTTTACAAAAACAAGAATAAACAAATTTTGGTAACTTGTGCAGTTTATTCAAATTTTATTGTACCACAGAAATAACCGAAGCTTGAACGAATAAGTAACCGTTAACCTATCTTACATGATGTTTATCGTCTGCTTCATCCTTCCATTGAAAGCAAATTTCCAAAATAATTACAGGTACTTCATTTATAAGTCATAATATCATAATGAATGATCACATTTATAGTGTAAAAGTTCCGTCCAGCCATGGGAACACAGAAAAAACCCTCTGCAAGCAATAATTTTCAGGAGAAACGTAGGTCATATGCAGAGGTAGTAAAATCCGGTGCTCTGGTTGACCATGACTACTACTTCATGTGATACAGAATTCCCGATATCAAGTAACAGTGATAATGACGTTGATTATACTGTCGTTGGTGATCACAGTTATTCCTGTAGCTCACAGACAAATGCAGGTGAAATTCCCAATAACATTTCTATTCAGCAGCAGTCTCTAACTTCACAGAAGCTTTCAAACGTTAACAAAACAAAAAATTTAAATTCAAATTCACAATCTGCTAATTCTATACTTCCTTTGGCAAACTTAAGATTCACTGCCCTCAACAAATCTTGTCATTATTATGACACATATTTATCTTATACGGTCCCAGGAGATGGAAACTATTTTTTTCACTCTCTAAGTTTAATCATAAATGGAGACTTGAGTCTGAAGTGATACATATAGGTATATTGTATGCTCCCATATTGTCCAACATTGGATTTTATGGGAAGATAGAGTTATGATAACCTGTTATAATACCACAACTTTTGATAGGTATATACAGGGCATGTATACTTGGAAGTATGTGGGCTACATCCAGTGAAATTCAAGCTGCTGCTACATTATTTGGATCAATGGATGCAATATAAATATTTGGCTCCCGCAGTCGCCTGTACAATGTATATTTTATGCGTCAGTTTAATCCCGATCAAAACATTTTCACTCTATCATTTGTCTATCGGATGTGGATATACTTTTATCAGGTGCACATTTCAACCCTTTAAACAAATCAACACCTATACCAACTTCACCACTACAAATTAATTTTCATGACCAAAAGAAGATCAAAGAAAAAAAAGTACCAACCAAAATGCAAAAACTTGAAAAGAAAGTGTACCACAAAAAAATTAGCTACAAAACCAAAAAGCAAGAATTTACATAAAACTGACTCTGAATTAGTACATGAAATTGATGTAGAAAAACCACAAACAGAAGATGATCATGAATACATTTGAGTGTTCAAATAGCATCCCAGAAAATAGCAAAATCTTTAGATCATCAACTTAACAATCCTTTTTATGGTTCCTTACGCTTAGATGAAAATGAAAAACCTGATCAAAACAATATTCTAAACAGACTCACTGTAAATTCAAACTCTTCTTTTAACAATCAGTATGATCCTCAGGTCCTCTTGCTGATCAAATATATGAATTGTATGAGATGCAGGAAACTGGGGATTTTTACAATATGAACACCCAGCTAATTTAGAAAGTAAAAATAATTTAACAAACAGAAAGCGTCGTTTGCAATACAAAATAAAAAAAACAGCTACAACTTTCATTTGACTTTTAAATAATGATGAAAAAGATATATTCCAAATCCTCCACCTCTTCATGAAAATCAACAATTTAATAAAGTTATGGATTGTATTCGTAGTTTTGAAATTAAACAAATGTCTTATTGTTTTAAATTTTGTAATATTTGCAAAGAAAGAAAAATGGATATGAAAATGGCACAAGATAATGAATGTTAGCATTGTCTTTAGATAAATCGCCAATAAAATTATTTTCAGCAGAAAACAATATGGACCCTAAACATATTCCATCTGAACTTGCGATTTTACTATTCATTCTATTGTTGAACAACTGGGAGCCAAAATTTGTTCCTGCGAAAAAAGTTCCAGTGGAACAAATTCACAGGAAATATATTCTGGGAGAAATTTTTTCACAGATAATTTCTAAATGATTTATTCCATCTCTATAAAATAAGTTCCACAATTTACCTGGTGAAATAAGTTCTGGTTTGTGAAATATGTTCCTTACCTAGTGAAATAAGTTCCGGGTTTGTGAGATTTGTTCCTTACCTGGTGAGATAAGTTCCTTATCTGTGAAATATGTTCCACTGGTTATACAAGTTATGTTTAATACTGAGCATTGTTATCAGTGAGTTTAAAGTTATAATTCAAGTACATTATAAAAACATGTACTATATTGATAATGTAATTAATAAAAAGTGTAAACATCCAAAATGGATTCTGTGGAGTATAGCAAAATGTTTAATTACATTGTACATTATCCATAAAAAAAATACCCAAATGACACTAATTTAATGAGTCAGAAAAGCGAAGAATAAGAAAAATCAATCAGAAAAATTTTATAAATCAATCATTTATTTATGAATATTGCAATTCAACATACATGACATATGTTACTTTATATCAGAATTTGTAGAAAAATGAAATAGTGGGTTTTAAATATTTATCACAGTTGTTAATCAATAATCATGGTTGTGCCTTTGTTTTTTATTCATATTGTCTACATACAATATATATGGTGACTCAATTTGAATTTCTAAAAGATTTACCTTATTTTGAATGTTTTCATGTTGTTTAAAGACTTCAATGATGAACTATTAAATTTGTCAGGTACAACTATAGAATGTTTTGCTTGATATAAAGTTAATGCATCATGTAAATCTATAACACTGGAACTTATTTAACATTTAGTGAAAAAATAAGTTCCGGAACAAATTTTACAGTGCTGGAACATATTTCCTTATTATATTCCGGGTATAAATTTTCTGTGATATAAATTCCAGTGGAACATATTTCCTATGAAACACAAAAACTTACATGTATCATGTGTATATGTAGAATCTCACCTTGTATTATTGTTCACGTTAGGTCATGGGGTTATTGCTTCTGGTGGGCACTGTGTTACTTTTCCACAAGAAGTAGATGAACCAGCTAAAATATTTCCTAAGACTTCCTGAAGAAATTAAAATTATCCGTGTAAGGAAGCAGGGCAATAATGGAACATCTAAAGATTTTGTAGCAAGAAGGTTAAAAATACAAACTGCCCTTTCTTTTTAAAACAATACAATGCAGCTTATTTTGACATTATTATTAGTAAAAAAGGTTAGCTGCATTGCCTATCATGCCTATATATTGATGTTGAACTCAGTTGAAAACCAAGCCAATACTGTTCATATTTCTGACAATGGCCCTGCCCCTGATCAAATAGACCCTTGTGAAATAGAAGGTAATACACATTCAAGTGTAATTTTGCCTGACCCACATATTGATATCAGGAAGAAAGTAGGGGAAAATTCATTTGTTGACAGTTCTGTTTTGGGGCATTGGAAAGTGTAAGATATAATAGTGACAGTCTTAACTTGAAAATATCACTCAACAAGCCTTTTTTTTCAATTTTAGACAAAAACTATATGTAGGTACATTTGGTTAGCTGGCATTTAAGGTAGCCCCTTCCTCATATTACAAGACAAAATATCAGAAAACAGTTATTTTTTATTACCCCACATTAGCTGTGGAACCGTAGCTCTTTGTCCGCAAATAGTCAAAAAATATCTCAAGGACCTAAGAGCTTTGGTTCGGCAGCTAACCCCACATGTGCCGAACCCCACATGTACTTGACCTAGTACCAGAAAGTCTTCCACAGATTAATGAACCTGTAGAAATAATATATAATAATGTAAGAAGGTAACTATACCATAGTCACTCCAATTTCTATCAATATAGGATTAAAAAGTGTTAAAAATTATATTACTCTTTCTATCAATATTATTTTTAACCTTTTTAATAATATTTTTAATCATTTATTGATCGAAATTGTACTGACTACTGTGTTTGTGCATGCGGATTTGTTAGGAAGACATATCTTTATTTTCTTTTCTGATGAGTTGAATGTGGTGTCTTGTGATTTGAAAGGAGTTGGTGTGTTATATACTTATCACACAGCCACTGTGTTTTTGCATGTACAACTTTAAATTTCAATGTATTTCCTCAATTATGTTACCAACTTTACATACCACGTTATACGTTACCTGGTTTTATCACGTCAATTCCCAACATTGATAAGAAACATGGAATATTTTATGTTGCAAAGAATGATTTTTACCAATAAAAGAACTTATAGAAACTGCAACTTTCAGTGATTTTACGATTTTCTTTTTTGACACCATGAGCTCAAATTACACCGGAAATGAACGCCTTTGTGGTAAAAGTAAACCAATAACGGATAGGCTGAACAATCCGAATATAATTATTTTACCATTATTTAAGGTCACATCACGACATGACTTAGTTGCTCTGTAAAAAAGAAAAACTTGAAAGAAAAATGAATAAACTGTGATAAAATAACTGTTTCAAATAGAAAGAATATTCTTACATAAAATCATAAAATGCAGAGCTTTGTTGATTATTTCCTTCAGTTTATACGGTGATATTATTTTCAAGACTTTGTTTTCAACTCAATTATTTTTCAGAGACAAGTGCTTGTGGTTGATACACCGTAACGAAATAAAAGCATCAGCGGGTGAATTGTGATTGATTGATCAGTGATAACTTCTATTTAGTCATTTCTGTCCCGCTATTTTACCACAGAACACCACAGCACCACAGAACACCCAAAATATACAACAGAACTTCGTAATATAAATACTACAGACATTTAATTTTTTCTTGTTATTTTTTTTAATTTTTGAAAATGTTGAGATGCATAACGTAATTATTTGTTAAATTTATTTTGTGTATACCAGAATTTATCGCTTTTTGTTGTTGTCATTTTTGTGATTAATTTTATGTTAAGAGTGGTTACCGTGAATAAACAAGGATTTGTATAGTAATAAACTATACAAATCCTTGCAATAAATAATCAAAATAAAAATAAACATGTGGGCACGAAGTTCTGTGGTATATTTTGGGTGTTCTGTGGTATTCTGCGGTGTTCTGTGGTAAAAAGACGCTCCGTCAAACTTGTTGTGTTTTTAAATCATCTCTCCGACTGCACTGGCCGACTTTAGTCTTAAGATACATGATTTTTTTCATTAATTGTTATTGGCTTTGAACTAGCTGTCAGTAACTGTGAGTACTCCCAGATCTGTACTTCGTGTCTTTTTGTTTTTGGGATGTACAATGTAAGTACCCGTCCACGTCCACTTTGTGTTTTTGTTACATGTAATTCTATTTGTATCCATCTGATGAGTTAAGCCTTTTTCAACTGATTTTTATAGTTTGTCCTTATGTTGTACTGTTATACCACTGTCCTGTCCCAGGTTATGGGGAGGGTTGAGCGCTCACAAACATGTTTTACCCCGCCACATTCTGTATGTGTCTGTCCCAAGTCAGGAGCCTGCAGTTCAGTGGTTGTCGTTGGTTCATGTCTGTCATATTTGTTTTTCGAAAACTGGTTTGTTATGAATTATGCCGTTAGTTTTCTCAATTGAATTGTTTCATATTTTTCATGTCAAGGCCTTTTATAGCCGACCACACAGTATGCGTTATTTCATTGTTGAAGGCCGTACGGTTGCCTATAATTGCTAACATCCACTTAATTTGAACTTTGGTGGATAGTTGTCTCACTGGCAATCATACCACATCTCCTTATTTTTATATTTAGATATGATAATTTTGTTAACCACCAGAAATACAACCACACTTTTACTTCGAACGATAGTTTAATCGGGCTATACAAGTCCGAGTTAAAAAAAATCAAGAAACAGTTAATTAGGCTTTCAATTATACATTGTAACACGTGCATCTGGGCCCATTCTTGACATCATTCATCGTGAGAACAAGAGCCATAACAGAGGTAGAAATTCCCATTGTCGTCAAGCGTCAAGCGTCAAACGTCCTTTATTCGCTACCGTTAGCGTCAAATGAGCCTCAATTTTTAATCGTCATTCGTCAAATCTCATTTTGAAGCTACCGTTAGCGTCAAATGGAGTAAAATGTTTATCGTTAACGTTATTTCAACACATATTTTAACGTCATTCGTCATGTGGGGAACCCCATTCCTACCCTCAAAATAATGCTAGATCCATTAAAGAGCCGTTGTTTCCTCAGGGGGTCACGGTCACGTGTACCCAGTGACACCCCCTGGATTCACCTCTGCTTTTTGGGATTCTGAGTCCGGAGCAAAATTAGAATTCTTTTGTCGTAAATCTAATTTTCAACCGACCCTCCGATTGTCAATTTCTATAGATGTAAGTAAAGATTTCAACGGGTACAGACTAATAAATGACGGTATCTTTGGTACTGAATTCTCAAAAGGGGGCAATTGCCACAGCACTTTCAAACCTTCATAGATATAATAGATACCTTGATATGAAGTGATTTTGACAGAGAATAAAACTCTTTAAGTATATATATAGAAACAGACGTACATGACATAATGATGGCATACATGTATCTTTAACGTCAATTGACTTTATTTGTATTGTTTTGTCAGGAGATTAAGTTGTTCACTTTCGAAGGGGGGATTACAAAATGAAAAATGTAAGAAAAGCATAATATTAAAATCCGAAATTGAACGGTAGCCCTTCGTATCTTTGCCAACAACAGCATGTCGTCTTCTAACCATTTTATTAAAGTGTAAATAGATTGATTGAATTCAACTCACCAAACTTACTTTACCAGGTCCGATCGGGATGTGGGAGATGTTGGTTGGGGGTTCCGACCACCATAACCTACTTGATCTACCAGTTAAACTATGATTCATAAGTTAACACAGTACATGAAGAGGTCTACAATCAAAAGGATCCTATATAGTGGCCATGCATATGAATACTAACAATATGTCGATAAAATTTATCAATTTTTAATACATATATAGTTTGAATCATATACTTAAGTACCTTTGTTCATATCTTGAAGTAGTCTGTTGTATTTTCATTTTACACGAGGCAAGTATACCAGTCTCAGAGCAAATCAGGGAGGTGTTGGTATATTTTGCATATTTTGCCTATACACTGTTATGAAAAAAATCCTGCTATAGATCATTCGAAGGGTATGACACTCTTTTGGGACGTTGGAAATAGGGGGTAAAAGTGGGGATGTGGACTATAGGGGGTAAAACAAGAGGATCATAAGAACCCGAATCCATTGACTGACTGGAATAAAAAACACAATCTTTATACTATATATACCCTAAGGATCATTCAACTCAAGTCTCAGAGAAAAAGATCTTACGAAAAACTTTACGACGACGACGACGAACGCCACATGATCCTTTGCGCCAGGTGAGCTAAAAAATGCATAGGGATTTGGAATAGATCTATGGCGTAAAAAAATGGGCTCTGGTAAAAAGCGGAAATTGGGAAAAAATTACAAAAAACGTTGGAGTTAGGAAATGAGCATGCCATGCACCCGGTGTCACCTCCCTCTCATTTTAACATATTCAGCTCTATTTCTATATAAGTGATGAATCCAAACCAATATAGTATCTGTAAATGGTTCTAAATATTTAGATTGAACTTTAAAGTAATCGTTGCTCTATCTTTATGTGACTGTAAGTACCAGTTTCAGAGAAGATGACACGACAATGCAGCAGTTTAGGAGAATTTTAAATTTCGTGTCATTTAAGCAGAATCAATACAATTTGTTTCAACCTTTGGCTAATTATTTACTTATCCGGCTTTGCAAGTTTTGTATAAAGTATGTAATATGTCTCTCATTATCTCTGCATCTACGTGTATTACAAATTGGTCTTTGCATCTACGTTTATACAACTACTAGTATATGATAGAAAAACAAAGGATATGGGGTATTCATCCATGACACAAAATCAGTACATACATGTATATATATTGACGACAAAAAGTCACCAAAAAGCAAAGGAACGTTCAGCGCTTTTATTACTTATTTTGTGTAGTACAAATGTAATACATTATTAATTACAGCTTCCAAATTTTGGGGTTTGCAAGTTCCCGATGAAGGTTAAACCAGAAAAGGAATTCATATTAATATTTCACTTAAACTTTTCCGGATTCTTACATCGATTTCTATTATTTTTAGGGGTTGATCCAAGGTCGAGGAAAGGGGGAAAGGCGTTCAGGTACTATTGATCACTATTGTTCGTAATGATAATAAGAAGCGACGAGAATAGCAAAGCGACTTTTAATAACTGTTTTTTATACACAAAAAAAAGTTTTTACGATTTAAGGGAGACGTAAGCACTCTATTCCCCTACCTGAAACTTGCATTTCTTGGAGCCAACGTTTATAACTTAATACAAAGAGATGAATATGAAAAAAAATAGATTACATAAAAAATCTGTTTGGAGGGTCTAAAATACTGCGTTAATTATAATTCCTCACAAGCTGTGTCAATCGTATTCTGCAGTTGATGTGTGCACAACATGGATTCTATAATATATACATTGCCGCTTTCGCGTCTGCGGAAAACCCCTAGCTGAGCCCCTATGCTACAATATTGATGTACTATCTATGTGTATTATTTCCCTGATTTATAGTCATGCTCATGTAGGAATATTTGTACACACCAGTGCCCGCCAGAGGCTACCATTCTTTGAAACAAACGATATCTATTTTAAGGTAAGTGAAACAATACTTGAGTATGTCATGTTTGAAATATTTATTAATTAGCCCTGCTAAAGTTCTATGTATTGCTGATGTTGGTTATTTATTACGTTTACGCTTTTATTTGAAATCGGTCATTTCAGAATGAAACTCTGGAAAATGTTGTAATATATTTTAACATGGACATGATGGATGAACAATGAACATATATTTACAGATTTAGTAAGTATATGGGCTATCAAGATTGTTATGAAAGTTTGCAAGTATAAACTATAGCATGTATAGCAGACCAACCCATGCATGACATATGTCAGAGAAATATCGAAAAATAATATGTGCAACTTTTATACTTTCCAGATCGAGGATTTGTATAGTATACTATACAAATCCTTGTCCAGATGCATATATAGCAAATTATAGATCCAAAAATGAGAAGTACCATGAATGTAACTATAAAATGCACATAAATATCACAAAAAAAAGCACCAACCATTCTTTTCGGGGTGGGATATCTATTTCATAAAAAAGGTTTTTTTTTATGAAGGGAAGTGAACAACATTTTTTTTCAATTGAAAATTAGACAATATTTTTTTTTGTGGGGAGGCGAGGGTGTGGCTTGGGATTAGATTAATTGGTCGATTTTTAATTTCATGAAAATAAAAATATTTGTTTCAGAAGGGAAGTGAACAATAACAATATACTTTATTTTGAAACACTCAGACACATATATACATGTGTAACAAGAGGCAAAATACATAATCATATTTATGGTTGCTACAGAACAATGTTAACATATAATCATATAATTTAGAATATAATTACAATATTTTAACTAATTTGTTAATGATAAGTGATAAGTTCTTCATAACTTTAATACTAAGTATTGCAAAATGAAAGCAGTCCTTTCATTTTCTCAACACATGGATACCTGTGGTAATATTCTGAAATATGCTTATTCCTTATATTTTTAAATAACAATAACAGATTGGCACTCAAATAGATAGTGAAACTCATTTCCAATTGACAAGGAGCAGAGATTACACTGTCTTTAATCTCTAGGAATTCCATTTCATCTTTCTGTTTCTATTTGTATTTTAAGGTTGCAGCATCGCAGCTTAGTAATATTTTTACGATCCGCAAATGAGAGTCTTAATAAATATTTTTCTAAGCCAAAGTCGATTTTGAAAAGACCATAATATTCCCCCCTCGATGAGTTTTGGATTTGACTGTGCCACTGTTGGATGAATTCGTCTGTTAATATTCGTTTTTATCTGAATTGGATCTATCTTTGATTGAATATTCCATATAAAGCTAAGTCCAGTATTGTCAAATATGGATTTAACATGTTCAATCCATTTAAACTTATGCAATCCGGATTCGTTCAATTTGAACATTGTATGGTACAAAATGGAAGAAAGTTTATGATTATTGCAAATAATTCTGTTCCAAAAATTAACTATTCTAATTTTAATTATGATATCGATGAAAATTTGGGAAAAAAATAAATATACATGAAAAAGTAGGGGGAAAATAGACATGACAATTTTTATTTTAAATTATTTATTTGCGAACCCCAGTCGTAAGAATTTACTTTAGAATTAAATGTTATTGCTACTAAAATTTCCAGTTAATATATATAAAACCTTTAGGGATCACGGACATCTTTTATTTATTATAATGATAATACTAGTAGATAGTCGAATCTTCTGCACAGCACAAAAAACTTTCAAAAAGGCAAAAGGTATCACAATCTAACAACAGAGAATTTGAGCATGTCGAGAAAGGTATTTTAATATGAATCATGTCAGTACCGAATATTTTGTGAATTACGGTAAATTTAGATATTTGTCTCTTATGGATTTAGTTAAATCAATATATTTATAGATGAATATTTGATAATCCAAAACTTATTAGTTTACGAATCTGGCTTATAAAGCATTATATTAGTATTATCTTCAATTCGAGTCTAAATCATGCAAATGATGCTTGGTCATTTACTAGGATTTAATATTTAAAAGCCTAATAAAACTAGATGGACCCGTTTTATTCCCGGATTAACATACATTTCTGTACATTTAAGGAATGACTGTAATATTTTTTCTGTCTATGAAGAAATAACATAAAAAATGTGGTGCACACTGAATAACTCGCGTAGCCGGTTATTTTAAAGTGTGCACCACATTTTTTATGTTATTTCGAATAGACAGAAAAAATATTACAGTCATTTCTTATAATTTAATTCTAAATTCCATTTTAAACCGGAGTAAACCATGAAAAAACGTTGATGACGTCACGGTCACATGACAAAATTATGTCTATGAGCTGATAAACAAAACAACGTCAGCCAATCAGAAGACGCGTTACATCCAAAATTAAATTATATTTCTGTGTGTGTAACTTTTCTATTGGACTATTGGTTATATCTCTTCTCTTAAAACATTGTCCACGGTTTGACCAATCTGATTCAATACAGATCATGCGGCGTTTTGCATTTGCGCCGATTTGCATTTCATTTGCGCCGATTTTTTTTTCATTTGCGCCAATTTTTTATAGGTAAATTACAGGTAAATAACAGGTGAATGTTATTTTTCATTTATCATTATAGACCTCTTCCGTTCGCCAGTTGTACAAATGTTGTGAATTGTCAATCATTACATGTATATAACTGTTGACCTCTGCTCACCACGGGGAGGTGGAAGTAGGATTTTTAGCAGGATAAGTCAAATGGAAAAGCACTATGTTCACATACTTTAAAATCAAGAAGTAAAGACCTAAGATAAAAGCACTCTGTTTTTACTCTGTTTATACTAAAATGACGAATTAAAAATCTATTTACAACATTAAAATCCATAAAAACGGAATACATTAAAATTATAAATCTGTTCTTGCCGAGTATTTATAGGCAACACATCTAACATATTCCTTTCTTGTGATTTCGTCTCTATATTTGTCGTAATTGTCAATAACGAAGTCCATCTTTTCTTTCTCTGGCTAACGTACTGATGTGGGCATTTCTAAAGTTCGCATTTTAACATACGTAACGGCCTGGAGTCGGTTTCACAAAAAAACTTACGACTAAGATCGATCGTAAGTATACTGAATTGTTAATGACTTACGATCAATCTTAGTCGTAAGTTTTTTTGTGAAACCGACTCCTGGATTTTCTTAACTTAAACATAAGTAAACAACGTTTATAACCAGATTTTACCAATATACATTCAAGGTATAGTACATGTACAAATATTTACTCACCTGTATTAAACTGTAAATGCAATTAGGAGCAAATATAAAATCGGCGCAAATGAAAGAATGACAATTTTAAAAATCGGCGCAAATGTCATACGCCCAGATCATGTGTCCAAGCTTTGTTTACAAGGATCTGAAAACACTCCGTTATACTTTCTGTTTTAAAGACTTTTCGGGATCTTCTGTTTTTTTCGGATTAATACACATTTTCAACAATTTGAAGGCTAAAATTTCATTGGCTAATGTTAAATAATTACCAGAACAGAAAGTAACACGGAGTGTTTTCAGATCCTTGTAAGCAAAGCTTGGACACATGATCTATATTTTAATCAGATTGCGGTTTGACGCTCTTTGTATGTTAAAGAACTCTTGCAATGTTTAACGCTCCGAGGTGTCCGTATGTGGTCTCCTGCAAAGCAAAATCTCGGCCAATACCCAAAAGTTTCTTTCCCAGTGGTAGCCCTATTTCCCGCACTTCATTCTGAGCCTAACACTGCAGAACCTACCTATTGTATTCATTGTTAATTCGTTCTTGTCCTGAACACACTAATATACGAAATAATTGCCACAGGACGTTTAGCAATCAACAATCAATCAATTAATCATGGTTTAGGGCATTATTGAAATCTAATATATTGTGTTGAACGGATATGTAAGATAACGATAATCCCTTAATTCATGATTGAGTACGAGCGTTAGCGAGTAGTAATCACGAAGAACGGGATAAGATTACTCAACTCTACGCAGTGTCGGTTATAATTGTTTATAAATAATTCATATCTTCTTTTTTTTGGCATCTATGGATTAGTCTTAGTTATGTAAGGACTATCATATTTTGATATTTATGAAATTTTAATAAATGATGTTTTAGACATTTAGATGATACAACAGTCATAATAGTACGAAGACATATTAGGAATTCATGTGTATTTATATATTAAAGTTTCCTGATTGTGAGTATAGTTGTAAACTTGTAATTTTAAGTAAGGAATTATCATGTTTATATAATTCAATACATTCAAATTTGAGTTACAACTAAATTTCATTCCACAGCTAATATTTTATTTCATTTCTTTACATCAAATGCTACTTAATTTGTCATAAATATGATGAAATAAGAGTTCCTCCAAAATATTAGTTCCAAACGGAAGATATATTCTGTAATTTTAGTTACACTGAATATAACATAGTCAGTGTATATATATATATATATATCTATGTTGCACTTAATATTATATAAATGTTATAACCCTGTTATCAGACGAACCAAGATGCCAGATGACCTTTTACCTAACCTTGATGATATACAAACCAATTGTCCTTTATCAATATTAATTAAGAAGCCAGGAACGTAATGACGATGTATACCTTAGTATCTAGATCATTAATTGACTTTCAATGATCATCAGTACCTCATCAGGTGCACGGATTACAGAATAACTCGTAAAAAAATCCGGTTATGGATCACACTATATGATCACCAGACAATTCTATATATATGATTCTATTTATCTTGATACATTTTTAGATTGACCAGAACATTCTCAGAACAATCGTGTGCTTGCACTGATGTACACATATACAAGAACATTCTCAGAACAATCGTGTGCTCGCACTGATGTACACATATACAAGAACATTCTCAGAACAATCGTGTGCTCGCACTGATGTACACATATACAAGAACATTCTCAGAACAATCGTGTGCTCGCACTGATGTACACATATACAAGAACATTCTCAGAACAATCGTGTGCTCGCACTGATGTACACATATACAAGAACATTCTCAGAACAATCGTGTGCTCGCACTGATGTACACATATACAAGAACATTCTCAGAACAATCGTGTGCTCGCACTGATGTACACATATACATTGTATCATCGTATTATCTTCATGCAATTTTAATAAAAGTATTATTTAAACCTTTGTGTTACTAAACCATTACATTACACATATTTGTACCTGACAGGTCTTCTTCTTCATTTTCCGATAAGCGGCCACAGTCAACTCGTTAACTATTCTGCCACAACACCATGGTCAGTATCGACAACAAGGTTACTTTATCGTATCTACATCAGATTTTAGTACATTGTGGATTAAGATCTAAGTTAGCTTTTATTCTGTTTCAGGATGTCTTTAGATGAAAGTACCACGATGTCTGTTGTAAAACAAGAGTATGTTAGTTTTGGAGGAGACCATAAGTATAACGATGAGAATGTATGTAGTTTGTTAAGCGAATGCGAGGAAGATACGCCGAGAGTAATACACTATGATAGCAAGATTGACGTTGGTAACGATGTTGTCTCGATAAAGACTGAACTCATCAATCAAAACAGCGAACATATGGCAGAGAAATTCAAATATGAAAACAACGTCCAGAACCACGAAAATAATGAGGATACTTATGACAAAGACGGACTTGAAACGTACGAGGAGTATCGAAACGATGAAAGTTACCATGAGGATGACGAGGAAAGCCATTACGGAAGTGACGTCACCGATCAAAATTCGGAGGAAGATGACTCCAACATGTCTAAGTCTAAGTATCAATGCAATTTTTGTTCACGACAATTTCGAGACGGAAGATATTTAGAACTACACCTAGCCTCGCACACTGGTGAAAAGAAACATATCTGTAAATATTGCAATAAAGGGTTTAGCACACAATACAGTATTCTGGCACACATGTCCCGATATCATCCCGAGGAAGGACTATCTAGATATGCATGTGATAAATGTGATAAGAATTTTTATTACCAATTTCAGTTAACAAGCCATGCCAAAACTCACCTTGGACTGAAACCCTACAAATGTAAACTTTGTGCAAAAAGCTTTAGTCAGTCGACAGGATTGAAACAACATATGAGTCAACACACGGGTGAAGGTATTTTTACATGCGAATTTTGTCAAAAAACTTATGGAAGCAACCAGGCATTACAATCTCATACGAATACTCATACTCGTAACACTGAATACAAGTGCGAAATCTGCAATGCAATTTTCTATGTGCGTGGGAATCTGACGAAGCACAAATCAACTCATTCTGAAAACCGACCATGGAAGTGTTCGATATGCGGCAAAGGGTTTAAACAAAGTTCCTCCATGCATACACATTTGGAAACGCATAAACCAAAGGCGGAAAGAAAACCAAAAAAGGTTATAACAAAAGATTTCAAATGTGATGTTTGTCATAAAGAATACTCATGTTTGTCCGCGTTATTAACCCACGAGAAAATTCATAATGGCGAATTATACCGATGTGATGTGTGTGAGAAGGTGTTTGTACAACAGATTGCTTTAGATATCCACATGAGACGGCATACTGGTGACATGACACATAATTGTGAAGTATGTGGGCGGAGCTTTGGTTGCCATGACTACTTGAGACGTCACATGAGAATTCACACTGGAGAGAAACGCTACAGTTGTGACGTATGTGGTGCATGTTTTACCCAAGCAGCAGCGAGAAACAGACATAAACGTATACACACTGGTGAGAAACCGTATAAATGTGAAGTGTGTGATCGTGCTTACGTTGACAAGCATTCTATGTTAAAACATGCCAGAATCCACTGGGAAAATGTAGATCTAAAATCTTTTAAGTGTGAAATCTGCAAGAAAGGATTTACCTCAAGATTTGGTTTGAATTGTCATTTGAAATCTGTACACGACGGGACTAAAGACCAGAAATGCGAAATTTGTGGAAAAACATTTGCACTAAGATGTTTTCTTATGCGTCACATGAAAACACACAACAAGGAAAACAAACAGAAGAAAAGGAAACGAAGTGAAAATGATAGATAAGAATATGGACTAACTATGTATATCATTATAACTAAATTTCAACGTCTAGCGTCAATTATCATAGTAACACTTATCTTGTCCTTTACTTCGTCAACTTTAAATGCAAAATGGACCATTTGTTAGCAATTACTGAGTACAAGAAGAACAATGAACTCCACTTTGTAATAATTGAAACCAATATTTCTGCTTTAAATTTTATCTTGTTTTAACGAATATTTGACTTATCGTGCATGTATGAGAGTCTTCATCTGTAATTTTTTTGCCTATTTTTTCGATATTCTTTATTTTTCTCGTCCATCATTCTCTAATCTGTAAATTTCATCCAGACCCTTACTTCTCGCTTATTATTCAATGAAAAAAGTGAAAGCAAATCTTCTGATTCTGATTTAAAAAAAAAAACTTGTTTAAAGAACTTCGCCTTTGTAAACAATGAATATCAATGAATTTAGTACCTGATTTTTTTTGGAATCACATGACCAGTTTTGACCAATCGTAACATGAATTATTCTGAGATATATTTTTGTATCCAGACACCCGTTTAACATGTTTAATCATACTTTAACCACTCGACGTCGGCGCTGTTAATATAAAAGAAAAAAAGGGGGAAAAACAAATGAACATAAACGCTTCTTCTTTGCAAGTATCCGGTTTATTACAGCTTTAATTTGTATACATTGTACATGCATGACATGTTTCATAGTATTCAGAAATCCATATTGACGTTGGCCAAAGGGTATGTATAGACAGAGCTCTATTTGATTTTTTACGTTCATAAAAAAATGTTTTGATGGTACCAAACATGTCAAAAGTCTGTAAATTATATTTGTTAAGTTACATCTAAACTATATATGTATGCTTGAGTGTATATTTCGTGCATATGAACAATGTCCGTTTGTTTCATAGTGTGAACCATCAGGTTGTTTTATATTATTTTTTTTTAAATATAAAAACGAACTGTTAAACCGGGTTACTCTTTCATTCTTTTGTTACCCGTTTCACTATTGATTGGCTAGTTTTTCTCCCCTATCCATCATACCCTTGTTTTCCAGTGGCATTCCAAATTTCTCGCCCTTCATCCCGACCGACCATACATTGCAGAAAATATCTTATGTATTTATCGTAATTTGTTCTCGTCCTTGTCTATTTGCAACTGGGCGTGAGGCAATCAACAAATATTATAATAGATAACAACTCTTACTTTTAGTTTTGTTGCTATTTAAAAAGGTAAAGAGAAAAACGATAATGTTGATTGTATGAACCACCTATGAGGGAAGTGACACGGGGTGCTCAATTTTGCAAATCCCGGGTAATTTTTTCCCACTTCCCACGTTTATTTCCTTCTTTTCCCCAGATCCCACTGTTTACCTCCCATAACTCACATCCCAAACGCGTTCCCTTCCCCCTTAACTATGACACAACCAAAAAGGCAGGATGAGCAACTTGGCAAAAAAAAAAAAGGCAGGATGACAATTTATGTAAAAAATTCAGGATAAACTAATAAAAAAAAGGCAGGACCGAATAGAGTGAAAAATAAAAAGGCAGGACAGAGATTACAACTAAAAAAAACTGCAGGACAAAATTTTTCATCCTAGCCCCCCCATAAAAATCAAATGGTAGCTCCCTTAAACCGGTTCAAACTGATTTTCACCAAAAAGTCCAATACGATCGGTTAACTTGTTCAAGCTGTTTATGGTAAAATGTTAAGAGTATTGATATTTAAAGTAAATGTTTTGGAGTATTCATGGAATCGACAAGGTCTTTATTTTGTTGTTTATATTTACAGGTTCATTATTGCATACTGATTATCTATTGAATAAAATTCTTTACACCTTATTTCGTGTACCATCACAGCGTAGGTGCAATGTAGCGATCTATTCGGATCACCTCTGTCGTCTTGCGCTGTCTTCTAGTTGTCAGTCACACTTGAAAACGACTTGACTGATTTAAACCAAATTTTCACAAGTTCCTCTACACGACATAATCCGTCTCGGTGGTCACGTGGTACATGTAGCATACTCGCCTCGAGTGCCAGAGGTCACGGGTTCGATCGATCCTCGGCCGTGACAAACAAACGACTTTAAAATTGGAACTTGCTGCTTTCTTGCGAAGGCTCTTCTGCCAAGCTATCAGCTATTATGAATAAGATAAAAGACTTGTGGGCTCGGAGTCAGAACAATGTGTCCAGACCAGGTAGGGTGATACCACATAGAGACAGTTCCTGGTGCAAAACCTTTCAGATCACCTCCATAAAGGCAAACCCCAAAAGTTCGAGCAGAACAAGATAGGCAGGTCAAAGAACTTCTTGACAATGACATTATTGAACCCTCATGTTCTAATTGGGCTTCACCAGTCGTCATGTGCTTCAAGAAATCAGGCGAGATGAGGATGGCGATTGACTATAGGAAGGTTAATTCCCTCAGTATTCCTCAGACATTCCCATTACTCCATATGGAGAGTGTATTTGATGCAATTGGAGAGGTTAAGGCTCAGTGTATTTCTCATGTGTCGATTTAAAGTCTGGTTTTCATCAGGTCCCTCTCACTTAAGAGAGCAAACATAAAAGTGCTTTTATCACACAGACAGGAATCTATCAATTTAAGAGGATGCCCTTTGGTTTAATGAACAGTCCTATCACTTTTCAAGCTATGATGTCTCATGTTCTTCGGGGCCTCTACTGGAAATTTGTATTGGTATATGTCGATGACATTCTCATTTTCTCTCAAACTTTTGAAGATCATTTAAATCATCTGTCCCGAGTCTTTGATCGGTTGAGGCATGCTAATTTAAAACTTCACCCTAGTAAGTGCCATTTTGCATTGAAGGAAATTATGTTTTTGGGTCATATCATTTCAAGAGAAGGCGTAAAAGTAGATCCAGCTAAAACCAGTGCTGTCAGCAAGTTTCAAACCCCACAAACACAAAAACAGTTACGAAGCTTTCTAGGCATGGCAAACTACTATCGTCGTTTCATTAAGGACCATTCTAAGATTGTATTTCCTTTAAACTCTTTACTTCACAAAGACCAACCTGTAAAACTGAAGTGGACTCCAAAGTGTCAAACAGCCTTTGATACTATCAAGCATGCCCTTGTCAATGCTCTTGTTCTTAGTTATCCAGATTTAGACAAGCCTTTTATCCTTACATGAAATGCATCTGATACTGCTATTGCTTTTGTACTAGGACAACTTAACTCTGATAAAAAGGAATATGCTATTGCCTATGGTAATAAATCTTTAACAAAAGAAGAGCGCAATTATACCACATCTGAAAAAGAGTGCTTAGCTATTCTCAAAGGTGTTGAAACTTTCCGTCCTTATCTGGCCAACAGTGCTTTCACAGTCATTACTGATCATAATGCTCTAGTTTGATTAAAGTCAGCTAAGCACACAGGTAGACTTTCTAGATGGGCTCTTAAACTTCAGGATCTTAATTTTGACATTATTCATCGTCCAGGGAAAAGTAATGTTGTAGCTGATTGTCTCAGTCGTGTACCCAATCCTTTTCGGGCCACACAAATTGACACTCTTTCTATACCGACTCAAGATCAGGGTATATCTTCTTTCGACTCTATTGATTCCCATGTTCCTTCAGAAAACTTGAGTTCTGAATCTGATGATGACTTAGAGTTTAGAGCAGAAGTGCATTTCTATTATGCTTCTGAACATGCAACAGATTGTCAAGCATGTCCTATTATATCTGCTGTTGATACTGAAAACATTCAAAACATAGTTGAGGATAAACCTGCACTCTCTGAACTACAAAAACAATGTCCTGAATTTTCAGCCATCTACACCTATCTTGAATCTGATGACCTTCCTGAGGAATTAAAACACAAAGATAAAGTTGTTTCAGAGAGCAAGTATTTTTCTTTGTCAGATGGTGTTCTTTTTCATTGGTATCAGAAACGGTGCAGAGGCATGGACCCTGAGTTTAGAAGAATCAAACAAATAGTCCTTCCTTAATCTCTTCGACTTGAAGCTCTTCAATCATATCATGATTCATTGGCAACAGGAGGACATTTTGGTATTGACAAAGTCAGCAACTCTCTAATACAAAAATATTGGTGGAAAAGTATGCATCAAGATATCACAGACTATGTTAAATCCTGTGATTGGTGTCAAAGAGCTAAGCAAAACTGCACCCCAAACAAACCCCCACTTACCAAGAGGCCTCAAGTTGGTCGTTTCGATAGATGGCATATAGATGTTCTTGGCCCTCTTACTAAGAACTCTCAAGGTTACGAGTACATTTTATTGGTCATAGATGCTTTCAGCAGATGGTGTGAAGCATTTCCCATGAAAACCCAAACTGCAAAGGAAATAGCTGATAATCTATACACAGGAATTGTATCTAGATTTGGTTGCCCAAGAGTTTTGCTAAGTAACCGTGGTCAGCCCTTCATGTCAAAGATTGTCAAAGCCATGTGTGAAATCCTCCAGATCACTCAGCATCATACCACATCTTACCACCCTAACACAAATGGCACTGTCGAAAGACAAAATCACACACTTGCTCAGTCACTTCGAACTTACTGTAATGATACCCATGACAAGTGGCCTTCTCTCATCCCAGGTATTATGATGGCTTTTCGAAGATCGGTTTGTGCAACCACAGGTTTTTCTCCATTTTACATGTTGTTTGGCCAAGAGATGAAAATCCCATTTGATATTGCATTAGAGCCAAAAGACTCCTTGCCACAGGACACACGAGTGTACATTGATCAGTTCCTGTCAAATATTAAGATGTCACACAAGATTGCACTTCAGAATGAAGCAGCTCAAAAAGAAAAAGACAAAGTTAGGCATGACCAAACAGCTAGAGTACGCACATTTTCTATAGGAGATCTTGTTTTACTAAAGGTACACAAATTTCCCAAAGGTCAGTTACGAAATCTTTGTGACAAAGCTTCTGGTCCATATCGAATAGAAGAAATTGGCCCAAACAACACATATGGTATCAGGAGAATCTCAGACCACAAAAAGCAAGCTTATTTTGTCAATGCTACCAATCTGCAACCATATATACGACCTGATCCTACTCGGCAGAGACTCGCTCAAGAAGTTCAAAATATTCTCCCAGATCCAGACTCAGACTCTGACTCAGACCCAGAAGTTGAACAAGATGATGAAGCAA